GGCCAGAGCCGGTCTGCTGCACTCTAGCTGCAGCTTAGGGCGCTCGCTTTCCCGCCACCAGATCCCGCCATGAGGGAGGGGCTTTGGCACAAAGACAGCAGAGAAAGGAGGATTTCCCGCCAAATGCCTCATATGTAAATAAGCCCTGGTGGGAGGGGAATTCAGCCGTTTGCGGCATGGTTAACCATTTCAGTGCTGAAACAAAGCCTACATAACCCCTCATAAAGATAACTTGCATAAAGTACTCGTCTCAAAGTATGTTTATGTTATGTAACTTAAAAAAACTCTAGCTCTCACTGTATTCACATCTGTGAATTTCTAATATAAGTAACAAAGAACTTATACTGTAGGTGTGAGGTTAATGACTTTACCGCGCCTAGAAACGTAGTATCTTTATTACACATTGGTGTGGGAAATTTGCATGCAGAGCTGTTAAAGATTTTAAGTAACTGTTGTAAGTTTGTAAGTAATGTAAGTTAGACTGCTGGATTTTGATCTGAATGGTCTTTCCATTACTTTTAAAGAGATTTCTGAAGTTAAGGCTGTGTGAATGTTTTGTGATGGCCCTCAGAGAGACAGTCTTTGTAATAGACGTCTCTTCTTTTCTGTTTGCAGTATGAGTTCCTGTGTTTTAACACTAGAATGAGATCTGGACAGTCACAGATGCACAAGAATTAAAGGAACGCTTCACCCAAAACTGAATATTTTCATGTAACTTTTCATAGAATGTCCAGACTGCTATTTTTAGTGGTGAATTTTTGCAAGTGATTTGTAAGTGGTGAATACGACAGTTAAGATGGTTTAAAAAAAAAAAATCATATATATGTGTGTGTGTGTGAGAGAGAGAAACTAAATATCTTTATATAAATGTTTATATCTTTATTTTGAAATGTAAATAATTAAATATCAATTTAATATCTTTATATAAATAAATCCTAAAAAAAACTCTCATCTTTTTAAGTGGGAGAACTTGCACAATTGGTGGCTGACTAAATACTTTTTTTCCCCCCCTGTAAATTAAACAATGCTTTCATAAGCAATGCAATAAAATATTTTACTTTATGTATAGCCTATACACACTTTAAAAAAAATTGAATAAAATTTTTTTTTAATCAAAATTATATAAAGGTTTAAATAGCCATTTTAAAAGAAAAATGCGATCTTAATTTCAAACAAAACATTTACACATTTATACAAAAATAATTATATATAATAGCATTTTTTGTATGTCAAAAGTTTTTAAGCGTGTATAGTTAAATGTATACATTATATACATATATACATATAGTATACTGTAACTGTAAACAAACATTTTTAATGAAAGCATTTTAGCATTTGTTAGCAAATATATTTAATTGCACTGTTGATAAGCCTTGTTTCCTTAGACACAATCATGCGTACATATTAATGTTTTGGATATGATACGCTGTGTAACCGCTCTGTTGTTACAGTTGGTGTGGGTGTGGACAGGGCAGGTGGAGGTGATGACGGTTGGGGAATATAACCGCACTTCATTGCAGTCCTGTGCCAAGATTTCCCTTGATCAATAGAATAAAAAAAGATATGCACAACTGCATTGTTAGTTACCTGGACTGAAAGTTATGGGAGTGTACTGATAAAGTAGGTTAATCAAGCACAGTTAAATGAGACAGACGCACACTTCCATCAACCCTTAAGGGCCCCTGTCATAAAACACAGCCAGTAACTGTCACAGGGTCCATGCCCTCCAGATAGAAAATCTCTCACTTCCTTCTCTTTCTTGTTTTTCCCTTGATGTCGAGGGTGGAACAGCCTGGTTCATATTGTGCCGGTTTGTTCACCTGCCAACGGACTAGCTAATCCTGAATTTACCTGCAGAACTTTCAAAAATACAGCCAAAGGCAGATCCCAGTCCAACATGCATCATCTGCAGGAAGGCTGATATAGTCTCAATGGACAGATGTGAGATGATGGACTGCCTGCATCTGTACTGGGTCAGCACTGGACGTGTCTGGACATGTCAGCTCAGTATATGACAGGCTAATCAGTCACTGATAAAATATTTATTTTCAGATGGATGAGAGTCTTGAATGTACGAAGGTACTGAGAGCTGAAATAAACATTTAATCTGCCTCTGAATAATAGTGCCGATGACTAGAGAGCTTTAGTTTGTTCGATTGTAATTACATCAAGGGTGTGTTCCAGAACCAAGTGGTTAAATCATTAGACAGCTGTGTGTGTCATTACTTAATTAGGTTAACATGTCACAGCAACACAAATATGAACACAACCTGTTACTTGGTGCATTTTAAGTATGAAAAACATGGGATAGTATTGTGCAGATTTCTTTTCTTCTATATTTTTCCCGAATTGTTGCAAAGACCTATGTATGAATCATATGTGTCCGTCTCTCATCTCCTGTTGTTCTTCTGTCCCAGATTACTAAAGCTTTCTCTGCACTAATATCCACCAGACCTTCCTCAAACTCGCTGGGGCTTATGTAAAGACGTGGTAGCATTTATGTATACGAATTATGAGGGTGTAAATGTTTTAATAAGGCCTGAAATTAAGCGATAAAAATTTTAGGGCCCCTTGATACTGTAAGGCTGTGAACATAGACAAGAAGTCTCAATTTTAGTACGTTTCTGCCCCCTTGTGTTTGGATGTTAAACTTAGACACTGTTTGTGAAAATACTTCTGTTTCGTGCTGCCGAGGTTTAGTGCCATGTTAAACATAATTCATATTTTTGGAAATCGCATAAAAGGTATTTTTATGAAAATGTAGCAGTATTTTGAGAATTCAATTGTGAGGACATTCTAAAACAGGGGTGCCCAAATGGTCCTGGAGGGCTGGTGTCCTGCAGAGTTTAGCTCTTCTGGACACCGGCCCTCCAGGACCGAGTTTGGACACCCCTGTTCTAAAACATGTGAAATGTGCTTAATGCACCAATACAAAGACCTTGGAGAACCAAAGTACTCTCACATTACTTAAACACTTACTTCTGCCAAAATACCGACGTTCTAGTGTTCGTCCAAGGGGAAAACTACCTTTACATGAAGTGTTTTTCCTCTACTGAAAACCAGGTGTAGAGAAAACACTGAAAGCTTGCGCATTGCAGTTATATTCTGTGCTCATCAGCTTGCCTGTAGATAGTATCCTTCATCAATGAAGTAAAACATGAATTTGGTCTTCCAGTCACTCTGGCTTTGTACATTAAGCCATGTTAAGTGTCACAATCTAATTTAGATTTATAATTTTAATAGAAATGTTTAATGTATACACGTATCACTTATTGACTGCTAATTAAGTGTTTTCCCCTCAGTAAACTCCTAATTTGCTGCTCATTGATGGTAACTATAGGTAGTTGTAGTAGTTATGTTTAAGTAGGGGTGGGGTTAAGGCAGCTAGAATATGCACATGCAGAATAAGGCATTAATATGTGCTTTATAAGTGCTAATAAACAGCTAGTATGCTAGTAATATGCATGTGAATAAGCAACTAGTTAATAGTGAATAGTGTTCCCTAATCTAAAGCATTACCTGTATACAGTATTTTAGTACTTTTTGCTTTAATTACACCAGCTGTGGCATGAATTCCACAAATCTGTGCGCAAAATGATCATCCATATCCTTAAATATTTCTATTTGTTTGTTAAATCAGATTTTCTGAATGGAAAATATATACTGTATTTTAACATTTATTTTCGGTATGGTACTGTTCAATAGTTTGGGACCAATAATGTTTTTTTCATGTTTTTGAAAGAAGTCTTTTAGTACTGCATTTATTTAACATAAGATACTATAAAAATGATGAAATGTTAAAATAAAAAAATTAAGCTGAGTAATGTCAAAGATGAATCTTCAGCATCATTACTCCAGTTATCAATGTCACGTGATCCTTCAGAAATTATTCTGCTGATTTGCTGCTCAATTAATTTGTTTTTTTTTTAATGTTGAAAACCGCTGTGCTGCTTAATTTAGTGAAAAACACAATACTGTGTTCAAGATTCTTTGATGTAAAAAGTTAAAAAGAACAGCATTGATTTGAGATCGAAATCTTTTGTAACACTATAAAATGTCTTTACTGTCACATTTGATGAGTTTAAATCATCCTTGCTAAATAAAAGTATTGACTTAATTTAAAACAAAAACAAACAAAACAGCAACATCTTACTGACCCCAAACTTTTAAATGGTCATGTATTTTCACAAAATGTAATGGGTAAAGATTTTAAAATATATCTGACCCGTGCAAACTATTGCAGGTCATAACATGAGTATATAAAGCTTGTATAGGTGTTTAGTTACAAATACATGACACAACTGTATTCATAATTTTGGGTTGCATTATTTCTCTGAACTGTTAATGAAATAGACTGTCTTAGCAGCGATTCGCTTTATTGAGGTGCGCTCGGAAAACAGTACCATGGACAGCAACTCATTCAGTCAGTGTGAGTCGATGCTTCATTATCCAGAAGTCTGACATTGTTCATCCTTGGAAATACATTGTGTGCTTCATTTGATGCTGAAGGTAAAATGAACTTTTATGAGAAATATGCTCTGAGAGAGCAGCTTAATTCAATGACAAAACGCTAAGTTGAATGTAGTAAATGACAAGTTTATTTCTTGCACAAAATGTACAAAATAACAAGCAAATGGACAGCCCGTCCCCCCCACCCTCCTCTCTGCCCTGTTTGAATTCCCTGCTGATATGAAGTTGAAGATCTGGAACAAATGTCTACGGCAAGTCCAATGGTCCAAGCCAAAACGCATGGTTTTCTTAGAGACGACACATACCCAATTCAGATTCACCGAACAATTAAAAATGAATAAAAACACCGTATTTACAGTCTTGTCTGAACTTTTACAGCATGCCATCTATATATTCATACGGAGCTTTTGTTTTTCAACAGAACTCCATATAGAAATCAAATCAAGTTTGACTAATGGCGAGAGACACCCAAAGTACAGCACTGCGTTTGTCACTGTAATCTTTTTGATTCATTCTTTTGTTTTTCAACCCACATCTCTACTGAACATTTGTTTAGGCCTCATAAGAGTCCACAAGAAAACTCCTCTTATTTACACCAAGTGTTTTACAGCTTCAAGTCTGTTGTTTTCTGAGTGTATATAATGTATCTCAAGTTTTAGATTGTGTTCATGACAAAACGAATCACTCGAACGTCACACAGTGCATCACTTCTATTTATCTAAAAGGCAATGTTGCAGTCTCATTTGGCTATGCTTTGCTTTTGGATACAGAGGAAAGCAAATCCACATCGCTGTGTTGTCATTCACAATGGTGTGATTTGGTTTAGTTGTTTCTCACTTTCTACAGATGATGTTTGTAATATGTGGCTGTGTTTGGACTCTGAATGAGACGCAGTGGTACGGGAAGCAGCTATGGCACAGGGCAGAATGTGTGTTTGCGTCTGAATTTCAGTTTCATGGCTTACTCACTCCGTTTAGCATCCAAGCTTTACAAGAGCAAAAAAAAAAAATCAAGCTATTTAAAGGATTGTTTGTCTCATGATATGTACAACTGGCCTTTAACCTCCACAGACGAGCTGTTATCATTATCCAACGTCTCTTACATTGGTATGAAGGCATTTCAAATGATCGTGTTCGCAGTTGTCACCTCGGTAGAGTATTGCTGTACAGCACTAGTGAAGAAGTCTAACAAAACGCTTCATTTCTGTACAAAACTATCCTGTGCTTTCCGAATATATACAGCTAGATGGCTATAGAACACATTTGAGATGTGTCTCAAGTATGTGATCTTTACATTTATTCTGTAACAGACGTTGTGCCAAAGAGAAAATGCCATGGATTGCAGTTTTATCAGGAAACCCACGATTCCCAGAATGCATTGGATGAAGCATATCGAGGATAATGAGGCAAAGGCGTTACAAATCAAATCAAGTCTAAACGCATGAAAATGGATCTGGACTATACATGGTTTCAAGCCACGTTAAAGTCTTTCCTGTGAATTGGGAATCCTTTTCAAGTGTGCAAAAATACTCTCAGATGAAACTTGGAAAATGAACCATTTTGTTGGTGGTTTTAACTATCGCGTTTGAATTCGAGTCCTAAAAGTTTAATACGTTTTTTAAGACCTTTATATTTGTATCCGGTGGTTTTGTTTGATTTTTGAATTTTAATATACATATATATATATCTATTTTTCCTGCTTTTATAAAATGACACATGATGATGAACCATCAACAATCTATATATATATATATATATACTGTATATATATATATTATTATTTTTTCATATTCCTTTCTCTTTTCTAGAATATCTTATTTAATTTGAGATCAAGTTGCATTTTGCTCTTGTAAACAAGCAGGTTTCAGAGGTTTGCCAGCCACCGTCGTATGTTCTCTGACAGTCTCTTTCTCTGCGGTCGCTCTTTCTCACTCTCCTCCTGCTCTCATTGAAGCAGGGCCCTGATTTGTTTAGAGGTGCTGTCATCATTTAAATGTCTTGTTGTATACCTGGATGAAAGAAAGAAACAAAGCTTCCAGGTCATGCAATGTGCGGCACATTTAGTTTTTTTATCCACGTACAGTTGGGAAGTGATTTACTGCACACTCACCTCAGTGCGTTCAACAGTCCCTCTACGCTGTTTGAAGGCTGCTCTTTCAACACCTTGATGCAGCCCTTCATCTGCACAACACACACATGCATGCAGAAATGCAGCTTTAAAAGAAAGGTCACCTCTCTCTGTCCCTCACCCCTGACTGTGATCATGGACGCCCACCCACACACCCCCAAAAAAGCATGCGTGAATAACCACAAACCCCTCTGGCGCTGCTGCAGATTTAGAAGTACCAAAACGTGTGTAGATAAAATGTGTGTACACTCTTAAAAATAAAGGTGCTTCACGTTGCCATAGAAGAACC